TACATGACATGACCTTTAGTAAGCATCTCCAAGTTGAATAGCTTGGAAAGCACACGTTTTGTTGGAATTCAGCTCTGATATTTTCTTGAATCTGGGAGCTCTGCAACAGCTTTAAAGTGAGGTGGAGAAATTGCCTTTGAAAGATTTGAAATGTAAGACTAGTTCTGCAGCACAACACTCCTTCAACTGTCATCAGTAGTGGTCATCTTCCTTTTTAATCATCCTTAAGGTTACTTATGTGTTTCTAGTGATGGTAAAAATGAAATATGCTCAGAGAAATTTCTTCAGTGAGTGTTACCATGGCTGAGTAATGTCATGAAAAGTGCTCAATTAATTAAACACATTTTAACAGCCCCTGACTACCCTCCTAACCCCCCACACTGTGCTTAGTGGGACAGAAGATCGAGCTAAAAATTGATCTTTGGATTTTTCTTTTTTTTTTTCCTGTACATGGAACAAACTGAAGCTAGCTGCCACTGTGAGGTTTTGCTTTGTCATCCTCTAATGTAAACAATAAATTAAGTTTGAATAAGGTTACCGTGCCATGTAACTGCTGGAGTTTAGGATTGGTTTTGGATCCTTCAGCTTGGCTTTAACTCATGAGTTATCCTAGGCATTGTTATATGACTATCCTCAGTGACATTTAACACCCAATGTGCTAGTGCTGCTCTCTAAAACTGCAATTTCAGGCACATATAGACTGTAATTGGTAATAACTTAAGACTTAATTATTCAACTGGATTTCCAGTGTATGGAGTTAAACTTTTATCACCAGCTAGTTCCTATGCTATTTATGTTTGGTGAAGGTCAGGATGAGACTATATACTGCATTCAAAATAGGAACAGCCTAGAGGAACTATTCAAAACAGGCTTTTGTTCATATGCTGTGTAAGTTTTTAACTTTGAGAGAATAAATCTTCAGATGTGAGTTTGCTGTTTAATATGACTGTTCCTGTCAACTCACTGCTACAGCTGTGTGCACAGGGGGTGGGATTTTGATTCTTATCTTGCTGAGGCTGCAGTCCATTTCTACCAAAGGTGCTGACTTCACAAATTCCTGAAGTATTTTAGTCAGACTTCCCTTAATGCTCTGTTGCTTGCTTAGGACACAAAGAACCCAGTTTCTGGCAGTAACTGATAATCTGTGAGCATAATGGGTAGATAATGCTGTTTGAAAGGTTTGCAGAGAGGTTTTGGTGATTTTAAAATAAAATTACGGCCTTGATTTCATCTTGGGCTAAGAAAAACTGGATGAGAGATACTCACTTTTGTTCCCCCTTCCTCCCCCATCTTCAACATGAGTGATTATTGCCACGCTTGTTGAGGTTAGAGGAACCACTTGCTAATAATGCAAAGTAAATATTGCAATGCACTGTCCTTACAAACAGAACCTAAAAATATAGAGCAAGGACCTAGCTTTCAAACTTAGTTAACTGAATATCCTATTCAGGTTAGCAATATCCCAGACTGAGGTTGATATTCTCTGCCCCATTCATCTAAAAGAAGTACTAAATGTCCAGACCCAGTGCTAATATTTTAATGAGATGGCCTGTTCACTTGGTAAAAGGGAAAAGAAATTAATAATTTTAGGAATTAAAATTTTCATCTGGAAGAGATGAATTGCTAAAAATAAGGGAAGTGGTAGCGTGATAGCTTAGCAAAACTGGAGCGTTGTTTATTTACATAAACACTTGCACCCTTTTGGCAGATGTTACTGTGGCCCTCTGTTCACAGAGCATGGACTCAAGGGCAAAAGATTTGCTTCAATCTAGTAGTGAATTACTAATGCTGGCAAGTATCTTAGACATGAATGCTTGAGGATCTCTGCTGTGTGCACAGGACAAATCTAATCCAATTAAGACAAAACTAAAATCTATAGTAGATGTCATGGTTTAGGCCTTCAAGCGTTAGATCGTAGAGTGAATAGTGTACAAGCTTTAAAACCAGTTTACTTTAGGTTCGCAAGTTCAATTAGAAGAAAACTCATAATGTGTTGTGTGAAATGCACAGGCAGTGGGAGCAGGGACAGGTATACTGGGAGGTGCATAGGGATGCTGTCCATATTGATACCAGTACTGTTTAATACCTTCATCAGTGACGTAAGAAGTGGGATTGAGTGCATGCTCAGCAAGTTTGCAGATGACATCAAGCTGAGTGGTGTGGTTGAGCCACCTGAGGGATGGAATGCCATCCAGATGAAGCTGGAGAAGCTCAAGAAATGGGCCCCCATGAACCTTTTAAGGTTCAAGAAGGCGAAATGCTTTAAAAAGAAGTGTGGTCTGTGGGTCGAGGGAGGTGATTTTGCCCCTCTACTCTGCTCTTGTGAGACCCCATCTGGAGTATTGCAGCCAGTTCTGGACCACTCATCCCAGGAAAGACATGGACCTGTTGGAGTGGGTCCAGAGGAGGGCCACGAAGATGCTCAGAGGGATGGAACACCTCTCCTATGAGGAAAGGCTGAGAGTTGGGGTTGCTCAGTCTGGAGAAGAGAAGGCTCTGAGGACACCTTATTGCGACCTTTCAGTACTTAAAGGGGGCTTATAAGAAAGATGGGGACAGACTTTTTGTAGGGCCTGTTGCAACAGGACACGGCATAATGATTTTAAACTAAAGGACGGTAGATTCATTTCAGATATAAGGAAGACATTTTTTATGCTGAGGGTGGTGAAACACTGGAAGAGGTTGCCCAGAGAGGTGGTAGATGCCCCATCCCTGGAAACATTCAAGGTCAGCTTGGGTGGATCTTTGAGCAGCCCGTTCTAGCTGAACATGTCCCTGTTCATTGCAGGGGGGTTAGATTAGATGACCTTTAAAGGTCCCTTCCAACCCAAACTATTCTATGTTTCTATATATTCGTGAAAACTGGTTAAACTTTGTGATCCCATCAGATGCATCTTACAACTGAGGGAAGCATGCTGTGATCTCTAGCCTTGTCTTTCTAGAATTTAATTGGAATTTATAGGTTGAATTGAAACTGTGGACTTATCTCCTGCTTTATCTGAAAACCAAGATGTGTACAGATAGCAACCTGTTTCAGAACAGGTACTATGAATTATTGAGCTCTGAAAATATCTATCTTAAAAGCAGTAAGTGGACAAGTGGGCACAAGTAAGTAGTTTTTCATTGTAGCGTACGGGGGAAGTTGGGGTGGTTGTTTTTTTTTTTTCCATGTGGAATGCCTGTCAAGGCACCCTGCACTTCAGTATTTTGAGCAGTGCCCCTTATAAAACAGTGTTGTAGAATGGTAAAAATCCTTTTTCAGCAATTCTGTAGCAATTTTGTTAAAATGACAAGGCAAACCGACATAGTTGCTTCTATTTTGCGCCCAACTTGTTTGCATTTGTACAGTGTGCTATTCTTGCTATGTCTGTACTCTTGTGGCCGTTAGTATAGGTATAATAATATAAACCAGTTCTCTGCAACTTATGCAAGAGTTGGTTTTGGAAGTGCATAATGCGAGTTTCTTTTTTGAGTCTAAAACAAGAAATTACAATCTAGATTAATTTGTATTTGGCATGGGATTCCCTTATACTTTAAATACTTTGTTATTAACCTATCCTGAGGCACTTGTTTCCTTGAGTTACTTAATCACCTTTCATCTGGCCTGCTGTTAGATCATCTTTGGAATAGTAAAGGGGTGATTAACAGTCATTGGGTGACATGGGAAGTTTGGACATGCAAATGTAGTAGGATGTTTAAATGCTGTGAGTTGTTGCTTTACTTATGTGGAAGAACGTGAGATTGGAGATGCTTCGGAATGCTGGTGTTGATCTGCTCTTCAAGCCTTGCACTGCACTGGCTGTAGTCAGAGTGGTGTGAAAGCAGAGCATTTGATCCTCTACTACTCATGAGGTTGGAACATTTTCCTGGGACCGTTTGAAACTTCTCTTCATAATCTTGTAGCCAAATATGTGATGAAGAATAAAGGAAGCTGTCTTTTTCTGCTGCTAGTTGATGTTTTGGAAACCACTTGAAAGTTTGAGTAGTTACAGATCTGAATTTCCAACACAACTAGATAACCTGTTCTGTGTTGCTGCATTCCCTCAGAGTTCAAGCAACCGAGTTGGATATTTTATCCTACCCTACTCATCTGGGAGATAATGGAGCCAGACCTCAATAGAATCTCACTAAAAACCACCAAAAACTAAAATAGTAAAGAGTAATCAGCAGCTTTGGTTTGGACAATGCAAGTATTACCTGATTAAGCTTGTGTTACGAGAAATTAAACTGCACCTTATTTCTCTGAATATCTAATTTGCACTAGATATGCTAATACACATTCTTGGAATCAAAAGTTGATATGAAATATAAACTGTGCTGAGAAGCCTAAGGTGGTAAAGTCACCTAATAAAAATGTGAATTTTAAATATTTCTGGTTTTTCAAGTGACTTTTGTAGGACATACTGAAAGTCTGAACTTATGTGTGTATCCTGTCTGTCTGAGGTCTTTGGACTACTCATAAGTTCACTGCTTTTCCTTTTCCTTGTTGGTTAAGAGTGTTTTTAAAGCTGTTGAACTGAATGACCGTTCAATAGAGAAACAGTAAATAAGCTTGTCCTTAAGGTGAGAAATAACACAAGCTGTATGTTTGTAAGATTGTGCTTAGGAGACTCTTTCCTTCAGACCACTGTAGACCTAGTAGTCAAATTGGAAGTAAAATTCAGTTTTCTCTTGCCAGTTTAGGAATAGAAAAACTGAAGCATTTGTGAAAGTCAGTAGTAAAGGCATCTGAGATTAACTGTATGCAACTGATACTGTTTAAAGTCTGCAAAGCTTCTTGAAACAGGGAGGTCCTTTTAGCTTCTCAAATTCCGCTATAAAGTGATGCTTTAATTACTTCTATGATGTTTGTCTTCATTTACTCCTAATACTGGAAAGGGAGTATAATAATTACACCAGATGTTTTTATGTTCACATAGCACGGTTGGGTGGAAAGAAGCTTAGGGTGGCAGAGGGCTGTCCAAAGCAGTGTATCCTGATGTCTGTTCTTTTGATTTCAGGCAAAAGTAAAGAAGCGGAGATAAAGAGGATAAATAAAGAACTAGCAAACATTCGGTCCAAATTTAAAGGTAAGTGACTTAATCATACTAGACTGTACATATTTCCTCATATGACATTCTTCTGTGGGTTTTTGTTTTGTTTTTACACGCTTAGACATTTTTATCAACTGCTGACACAAGCAACATGCTAGAGCAGGCTGTTAGAATAACTATTGAAAGTGTCCTCTTAGCAAATGAACTTCTTGACAGTCCTATGACTCTTGGCTGTAACAGAAGAAAACTCCCTGCTATATCAAAGAATTGAGCTACTGTTCACAAGCTTTTTCTATACTTTGCCTCCTAACCATGTGACTACTTGGCCTGTTTTCTTCCAGAAGGCCATGAACTAGTTTGAAGAAATGTGGGTGGGTGTAGTTATTTCCAGTAAAACAATCTGTTTAGACTTCTCCCACCCCGACCCAGCCCCTTTTAGGGAAGTAATGGGTTAGGCTGTCTTCTAGCAGAATTAAGATAGAAATGTGCAGTTGTTGAAGCCGTACAACTTAACCACTCCCATAAGCAGCAGCAATACAAATTATTCATATGAAGCAAAGGATATGCAGTGACTAATTCTATCCTTGCGAGTTCCAAGAGGCAGCAATTCACTTTTAAACAACACGTGGTAAAATTCATGCTGTAACTGTATTCAAGTGGTGTATGTAGCTTCAAATTTTAAAGATTCTGAGCGGTAGTTGAGATGCTTTTGAATGGAGTTCTGCCAGTAGTGGCTGCAGCAGACCTTCCATTTAAATAGATATGAGGCTGTGTGTGTAGCTAGATAAGGCGTTGCAGGGTAGAGGTCATATATGTGGCTTCAGAATTTTCTGTATACCGGTTTACCTTAGTTATCTGTCCTGACTTAGACTAGTGTATCTATTTGGAATACTCAACGCATTAGCAAAGGCTGAAATAACTTTGCTGAACTTCATAGGGATCTATTGGTACTTGCCATACTAGCGGTATGTCTCTTAAAGGCATATGAAGATCTGCAAAAACTTGGCTATCAACAGCTCAGAAAGAAAGGTTGAGCACCGTGCAAGACACTCAAGAAAAGTTAAGAATTTTTTCTAAATTAGAAGCCATTGCATGCCTCTGTGCTAACGTTTTTCTTTTAGAAATTCCAGCATACTTTGTCCAGCTTGGTAAATTCAGTTTTAGGGTAACCAAGGAAACTTTAATGGTTATTTTTTCTAGGGTAAATAGAAAAAGGAACTTTCATTTAGTCACCTCCCTATGCTGTCATGTTCTACTTTATTTCCTTTTCATTGCAAAGCTTCCATTTAATGCTGCTGTTGGTCTGATTTTTGCCATAACTAGTAGGCTTTGCATAGCCTGTTTTACAGACTACTCTCCATCACCCAATCCAAGTCTAAAACTTGTGTCCATTTTCCAGTCACAGTGACCACTTGTGTCCGTTTTCCAGTGACCAGCACACAAAGGCAGTATCTGCTAAGTATGCATGCACACCTCCTTCGAAGTTTCATGTTACTTTATCTTTCAACTGATTTTACAAAGTTGATTAATTGGGAAGATGCAGCCACCAAGGCTGATTTTTTTTTTTTTTTTTTTTTTCCCCCCTCTTAATCTGTGTTTGTAAAACTACTTGCTGTCAGATACCAGCATTGTTAGTTACTGGCTGTTGCTGAAATCGATTTCAGCACCTAAATTCTTTACTAAATTGTTTAAACAGCACAGGTTTTTCTAAAAAGCAGGATGTCACTTTCCCTGTATATATATATATACATTAACAGTTGCTCCACCTATGCCCTTCGGTCATGAAGAACCACTAGAGTTAATACCTAGCTGTAAATCTTGCTGCCATCACACTAACACAGAAATCCAGTTCTTCAGCAACTTAACTTCAGGCTATACCACCTTTTTTATCTTTATTTGGTTGATGGGCATGCGTTAGGTTGTTTGCAAAACCTAATCAATTTTTCACTAATGAAACCGGAAGCTTTCATCAAACAGTCTTCAGTTTTCAGTGAAAATCTGAAAACTTCAAAAGACAAAGCCCCTGTAGAACCTCGCTGCCTACTGTGTGTTCCAGTGTGCTTGAAGTGTGAAGGAGGTTCTGTCAGACCTGCTTACTTCTCTGCAAGAGTTAAACATGCAGTTGTAAAGGAATGTGGTAAGGAATTGCAGAAAAGTTCATAATGGTTAAGGCTGTTTAAGTACTAAATTGCAGATATATATTCTAGTTCTTACTGTTTGGCTGTGATCAAATTCTATTGGGTAATCTTCTTTAGATAGGAGCACTTGCTGCTTTCTAGTCCAACTCCTTATGTTTGTACCTGATGTGAAAAGCTTTAATCTACAAACTGAAATGGGGAAGCTAGATTCAAGCCGCTATTCCGTATGAAAGGTAAGCATTCTAGAAAAAATGGTGGCTTACATGTTTTGAGTAACACAAGTTAAACTCCATGTGGGTCCACCTGCATCCACTAACCTACATACTTCTGTAAACTTGTGAGTGTGAAAGAGTTAAATCTGAATTGTTTGGGTACAACAGCAATTAATGCAGCCTTTAAAATTAATGCTAATAATAGTTATGCCTTCTGACTGCACTTACTCGTAAAGTGCAATTAATTCTATGTGGGGATCACAGAACGAACACTGACATACAATTCAGTATTTCATAAATGTCAGTCATCCTGAGTGTGGCCTTGTGCAGAGTCAACAAACATATTCAGTAGATTACTAATATCACTTCCAGTGAAAGGCTGCCTAACACAATAGAGCTAGTCTTCACGGTTCTTTTCTGTGAATGTCTTTATAAAAGCCACTGTTTTACTAACTTCAAGTTTCATTACTGCCAATTTTTCTTAGAGTGAACTGAATTCTGTCAGGATAGCATTCTCTGGTTATCATAGGTAGTTTGGTAGCTGTGTTGTATCACTAAGAAGTCATAGGTTAAAGAGCTGCTGATGGCACAGTTCATAAAAAAAAAAAAAAAAATCTGCTCAGTTCTGTTCCTCAGTTTTGCAGGGTATTTTGTGGCTTAAGTACAAAAGTAGTTAAAAGTACATGCACAGTAAATTATTTCCTGGTTAATCATGATGCAGGGGAGAAATAATCATAGGAATCTTTGGCTGTGTAGAACCACGAAACAATGATCAGAAAGTAGAGGTGCTTTCAGCAAAGTAGTGGAATAACTTTAGCCTGCATACCTTGTGTAGCATCCTTTAAGCACAGTATAAATGGTTTTGAATAAATATGAGTATGTGCTCATTCAGTAGCTTGAGTGAAGATGACTAAACCTTCATAATGGCTACTTTATTACCAGATTTGTATGGATTGTTAGGAGAAAAATCTTACTTAAATGAAGACAGTAACTTGATATAGCCTGATTGGAAATTAGATGTAAATGTCACAATTTGGAAGAAGCTGAGTCTGGACAACTTGTTGTGTAACTGCTTGAGGCCCTGAGAGTGTGAGGAGGCGATAGCTGTGTATCTTTTGGTTGCAGAAGTTCTATATGGGCTTGGTGCTGCATGGTTCTTCCTTGTAGAAGGGCTGTATAAAAATAAACAGACCTTCATAATGCATTTTATTCTTGGTTTAAGTGGAGATCATTCAGTTTAACCCAGGTTTTTTATGTAGCTCTGACTTTTTGAAATGTTTTTAAATAGTTTGCCTTAAGGCAAATGTGTGACTATGAACTTAAGATGGAGTCCCTTGCTAAATAATTATGGGGAATACTGGGGCTCTGGGTTAATTACCTGTCTGAAGATACAGCTGTTGGGCTGGCTGCATTACTATAACCAGGGAAAGGTCTGACTGTAAGAAGCAAGGCTGGCAGTAGTGCCTCTTGACACGAATATGTTCTTGCTTGACACTAGCATAAGAGACTGGTATACCACAAGTATCTTTTCCTTCCTCTGGACCTTTATACTCTTTGGCATACTCTGTTGCAGTATCTAGACGCCTACCCCACGTAACTTGCAAGGTTCTTATACTGTTACAGGCAGAGACTAAGTATTTCTACTTTTGCAGATGCAAGTAGCTGGCAAGCCTGTTACCTGCCTTTTGTTGGGTAACCTGCTATTTAAAATACCCTGTATACCAGGCAGGGATGAGGCTGCACATCTCTGGAAAAGCCATACTTTTCTTGAACTGGTTGTACACCATTGGCGTTGGGTTCTGATCCAGCTTCTGTGCTCTGAGCTATGAAGGAATCTAGGATCTCTGTACTACAGGTGACTTTGTCTCTTATTTCAGCACAAGGAAGCACTATAGCTGAGGTCAATGTGTCCTTGACGGTTGCTTTAAATGCTTCTGCATTAACTGAGATAAGATGTGTGTAGTAGAGAGAAACTACACTAGTGTAATAACACAGAAGTTGTAGGAGTTAAGTGTGAAGTGGAGAAATACTATTCCTCTTGTTTTACATGTTCAGACTGTAAGCTGATTTTGCTCTTGTGCTTGAGCCAAACTGGAAGTCTGGCTGTCAAAGTAGTAATTGCTTTGTAAATGAGTGGAAAAATACCTGGTTTATTAATTTGTTGTGTCATTTTGATCTCTCAGGGTGGAATTTGAGTACTAATGAAATTGCCCACAAATCTATAAGCTGTTTCTGCAGTCAAAGGGACTTTGTTCTCTGCTTGATTTGGGCTTGTTCTTTTTCCCAGGTCTGGCATTAGATCTTAGTTTAGTTTAGAGTACTTAATAGGGTTTGTGTTACAAGAGTAGCTGCTAGATTTCAGACATGCTAGTGTATCTTAGTTTTGTCTTGTGCAGAAGTGCCCCAATGTCAGTTGATAATATCTGCTTTTTTTTTTTTTTTAACTTCAGCTCACTTGTTTTTCCAAATTTCTCTATTGTCCCAAACTGCACAGTAACACTTTGCAGGAAGTTCAAGATAAGCTTCTAAATACCCGTTTTAAACAGAAGCTGTATAACAGTAGATTGTTTTCCTGGCAGGCTATGAAAGTGTAGTCTTTATATTTAAGATGAGTTTGGTTAGTCACACTGTCTTCTGATCATCTAAGAGATGTATGAATGCAATGAGAGAGTAAAATAATAAAGCG